TCAGAGAGAGATGTCACACAACCGGAAAAAAGACATTTTAGCGAAAGGACTTAACTTTGCGGTAACACCAGAAGAAATCCCAACAATACACCTCATCAAGGCCACAGAATCTACCATCAGAAGAAACAAATTGACGGAGTCAGAGGCAGAACAACTCCGGCTTAAGGTGTCAGCTGCTCTTGTCAGTGCCAAAGCACCGCCTTCAAACCTCACCATCCAGCAAAGAAAGGCACTGGCAACACTTCAGAGAAACCAGAACATCACCATCTTGCCGGCAGATAGAGGAAGATGCACAGTGGTACTGAATACAGCAGACTGCCATGCCAAGATGACTAGCCTTCTGAGCGACACAACCACATATGAAATCCCACCAACAAATACCAGACAAAGGCAATTAACTGTTTACAGCATCTAGAAAAGAACCAAGTAATCGACCGTACACTATATTACCGCTTGTACCCAGGGGAAGCCATTTCTTGCATTTATGGACTCCCTAAGATACAAAAAGAAGAAGCTCCGCTTAGACCCCTCATCAGCAGCATTAACTCTATCACTCACAAGATTGCTAAACACTTAGCCTCTATTTTAGCTCCACTGGTTGGAAGAACTCCTCATCACATAAGAAACTCACAGGACTTTGCCAGCAAGGTAAAAGATGTAAAACTAGACTCAGATGAAACCTTGGTATCGTACAATGTCACCTCTCTTTTTACTTGCATCCCCACTACAGAAGCTGTTAAAACAGTGAGGAAACTTCTCCTACAGGACAACACACTGACCAATCTTACTCCAGACCACATCTGCGCTCTGCTGGACCTCTGCCTGATGACCACTTATTTCCAGTTCCAGGGAGGTTTCTACAGACAGAAACATGGCTGTGCATGGGCTCACCGGTGTCGCCTACAGTAGCCAACCTGTACATGGAGGAAGTAGAAAGCAAAGCCCTGCCAACTGCTCCTAGCCACTGGTACAGATACGTGGACGACACTTGGGGTAAAATCAGAACACTGGAAGTAGAAGCCTTCACAGAGCACATCAATGCGGTGGACAAAAACATTAATTTCATCCAGGAAGACGTCAGAGGAGGGAGTCTGGCCTTCTTGGACTGTGCTGTGCACATAGAAGACAGAAGCCGGGACATAAAGCTCAGGAAACCCACTCATACAGACCAATATTTGCTGTTCGACTCCCATCACCCACTGGATCACAAGCTGGGAGTTATCAGAACCCTACAACACTGGACCTAGAACGTGCCTACCAGGACAGTAGGAAAGGAGGAGGAACAGAAGCACATCAAAACAGCACTTAAAACCTGTGGCTACCCAAGCTGATCTTTCATCAAATCCTTTACAAAACCCAGAGGAGACAGAGAAGAAAAGATCAAGAAACGAAACAACATAGTCATCCCCTATGTTGCAGGAGTTTCTGAGAAGCTCAGGAGGATTTTTAATAAGCACAACATTCCAGTGCACTTCACCCTGAGACAGAAGCTGGTCCACCCTCAGGACAAAACACCAAGACTCAAACAGAGCAATGTGGTGTACGCAGTCCAGTGCCGCGGAGAATGCCCAGACCTGTACATTGGGGAGACAAACAACCGCTCCACAAGCACATGGCACAACACCGAAGAGCAGCTCCTCAGCACAGGACTCAGCAGTCCACCTGCATCTCAAGGACAAAGGACACTCTTTTGAAGACAGTTATGTACAGATTTTGGCCAGGGAGGACAGATGGTTTGACAGGAGTGAAAGAAGTCATCTATGTCAAACTGGAAAGACCATCACTCAGTAGATTAAACTATGAGAATAACCATGACCTGGATGACTGAGAATCTTCACAGACATGTCTGACAATCTCAACATACACGTTTATTAAAGAACAGCTGTGCAGCGAAAGCAGATTTTTCCATGTTTGCACACAGACAAAATTAGAAGTGATAGAAAGTCCTGGTCTCACACTGATTCATGTATGTCAGCTGTCAACTATCAAGCTCTGCACTGTCGTTCACAGACACAGTGAGTCTTCTTCCTGAAGGCAGCGTTGACAGCAGCAGCTCAGCCGAATTTGAAGCTACACTGAAACAGACCATTTAGAACACGGCTAACAGCAGAAGTTACACAGTCATTGTAAAATATACTAAATCATATTTTGAGCTGAAAAATTAACAAGACCCATTGTAACTTGTGAGACTTTAATTTACTAAAAAGCGGCACAATATGGGACCTTTATCTTTCGTATATAAGTAAAATGTTATTGTATGGTTTTGGTTTCTGACATCTTTTGGGAACTCTGT